TTCGTGGCAGGTAATAAACAAAAATAGTAAAAAATTTGAGAATTTAAATACTAAATATAAAAACACTCGGATGGTCAAAGTGTGGATATTCCGTGTTAGTGATGTTACTGGAATGCTCTCATATGTTAAGTGCCGCCACCGATGATGACCATAAGTCGAGGTCCAGTAAAATACTGCGTTTGGGCCAGTTACGTAGCATCACAACTTTCCCATGAATGTATAGTTGTTAGTTACAGATTTATCTAATGCTTGATTTTTTATACGCTTTTGCGTATATGCAAATTGCAAAAACACATATTGGGAAGATGCTGTTCGTGTGTTATGTGTGTGTGTGTGTGTGTGTTAGTGTGTTCGCGCTTTTTGTCACCCACTTTCAACTGGAGAACCAGAAAAGCTAGAAGGCTGAAGCTTTGGCAGTATGTGCCCATACTGTGCCCCTCCCGTTTTAATTTCATCCCTCGCGTACGCCTGGGTGCCGCGTACGGATGCTCTAGAAAAATATGCAAATTTTTTGGCGGGAAAGCGATCTCGGAAACCGCACGAGCTAGGGGCTGAAACTTTGTTGAGATATCCCCTGTGCATGTGATAGCTAAAGATTTCAAATTCAGCCCCCAGATATTCGTGGTACTCATGTAAGGGCGCATGAAAGTTTTAGCGGAAAAATTGCTAACTTGGGAACCAGGAAAGCTAGAAAGCTGAAATTTTGGAATAATCTTCCCCATCCCATTACAACTCAAATATTTCATATTCAGCCCCAAGCTATGTGTGTTACTCACGTAATGGTGTGTAAAAGTCTCTGCGGAAAAATTACTAACTCGGGAACCAGAAAAGCTGGAAGGCTGAAATTTTAGAGGATGTTCTTTGTCCACGTGTAACTTAAAGCTTTTCAGGCACGTAGAGTACCCATGCTCGGGCATGTAAAATTTTTGGCAGGAAAATTGCTAACTCGGTAACCAGAAAAGCTGGAAGGCTGAAATTTTGGAGGAATGTTCCCTGTCCAAGTGCAACACAAAAATATTTCAAATTCAGCCTTGGGATATGCGTGATTCTTACATGCGGGCACTTAAAAGTTTTGGCGAAAAAATTTCTCACTGAACAGCTAGGTTACTTTTAAAGAAGGGCCGTTAAAAGGAAGCTCTTCATTCCCTTTATGCAAAACTTATGGTGATTTAAGTTAGTGACCGCAAAAGGTAAGTGTAAAGCAACAATTCATGCAGTTAATGACCTGTGTACTTCAAGTTCGGTGCTTAAACGTATGATCGGACTGGCCCACGTGGTGCATTCCAGCCTGGGTTGATACTGGTTCCAAAAAAACTTGAATATATCAGCGGTCCTGTTGTTCGTCTCTGCGTGAGTTAAGCATGTTTTTGAAGTGAATTTAG